TCTGCAATTAGAAGCTGCCTTTGCCTCTCGTCTCCATACGGAGATAAGGATAGAATGCTGACTCTGGCAGGGACCTTGAGATAAGGAGCATCTGGGTGGAACTAAATAACTGTTAGCCATTGGTGTTTGTAATGGGAAAGAGACTAATTGTTATTGTTATTATATCTAATAGACAGTATATAAGCTGCTTCATAATTGCTTGTATTCGAAGATCTGCCTCAGAGGGGGGGGCCTTCCCCCCCTTTCCGAACCAGTTTTTCCCTTGCTGCAGCTCGTAATAAAACTGCCTCTGGCTACTTGTTGCTTAAACACAACGCAGAGTGAAGGCTTGTTTTCTTCCACAACCGAGAACTAAAATATCTGCACCCCCAACAGCAGGCTTGTAGACTTTCTCTTTCACTAATGCCAACTTCATCAAAATAAACTATTTTTTGAACAACCAGCTATATAATCTTTGATTCTTTATGAGCAGATTACAACCCATTCTAGGCGCTAACTGCATACACCCAAAATCCAGCAAAGAGCTCAATGGTGCCAGAAGAGATTTGGAAAAGGAACAAAATTACTTTTAAGATAACAGCTAGATGCTGAGGCCAGCTCTATGCAACACCGGGATGGTCGGCTTAAAGTACACAACTCCAGCTGCGTAAATAACATAGCTGGAGTCGACATGCCTTAAGCCAAGCTTGGCACCATCTCCACGGTGGGAGGTCAACAGGAGAAACGTTTCTGTTACCTTCCCTTAGTCCTCACGATAGTGAGGAGCACCGGCGCCAACGGCAGCACCCTCTGTGTTCGATTTAGTGGGTCTTTACTAGATCTGCTAAATTGAACGCAGGAAAATCGACCACAACAGCATCAATCTTCCTGCAAGTGGAGACATGGCCTGAGACAGTTCAGTTGTAACGCCGAGAGACGGAACCGAACCTGAGACCTCTGGAGCTTGGTACATGAGCTTCTACACAGCTTGAGCTAAAAGCCAGCTGGCTAAAAGCCAAGGCTGTAGAGCAGACTCATGCACTCGCTCTGTAAGTGGTCTTCAGTGCTACTCTAGGGGACAGTGAACCACACCCAGCAGATGTGTGGGTTACACAGCCTCATCCCCTCTTTGCATGGGCTGGGCTGGGGAGGACATTGAATCTACTACAGCAGTGTTCTTCATTGCAAGGCCCATCAGCCAGTGGCATCTCTCATCAGCCCAGGGCCAGGTGCAGCTCCCGTTCCTTCTAAGCTTTGCGGCCACTCAACAGACTATAATAACTGAGCAGCAGTTCTCAAGGGCCATGCAGCAGAGACCTGGAGAAAAGTAGGGTGGGCAGGAACTGGGGAGGGGTAAATTAGAGCTAAATAACAGCACACAACACAGAGAGCCAGGACTGGTGGCTGTAAACAAACTTTATGGGATCGCGGGGAAACTAGACCACACTCAGAAGTGGTAATTAATCCACTTACAGCTAACTACAATCATGCCAGACCATGGACAGGTTCAACCTGTACTATGCTACAGCAATTCTATGTCACTTAAAATTTCTCTTATCTAAAATGTTTATGGCTGCACTTGTGCCACTTATGTGCTAGAAAGGAGCCCCACCGTGCTGGAGAATGGGGCCAGGATGACTCCTTGACTTATTTTATTTTGCTGTAATTCCTTTTTAATGCTGTGATTCAGTGAACGTGTCGGGACAGATTGTACCACCCTAAACCAGGACTCTCTGGTCCAGCAATATATAAAGATGGTCCAGCAGGACCATGGATGTTGCTGCAGCACAGAGCTCAGGAACAGGGCAGTCTGGGGATGAAGCCGAGAGCGCAGCAAGAGAGCTAGCAATTCGGTGGGAGCCCCATGGCACGTGGCACGGGGAGCTCCGGCCCTAGCGGCAGTGGAGGTCTGGCCCTGGCAGCAGTGGGGCCATGGAACTCCTGCTCCAGGGAGTCCCAGCCAGGCTGGCAGCAGGGAGCTGGGTCTGGAGCCCAAGCCCAGAGGCAGCTTGGCCAGGTGTGGGCTGGAAGCAGATGGCAGTAGGAAGGGGTAGGTGGGTGTGGGAGGGCTGGGAGGCCAATGACAGGGGACCTCCCCATATCTGGCAAATCCCCTTGTTCTGGACCGGTCAGGTCCCAAATGTGCTGACTTAGGGAGGGATAGCTCAGTGGTTTGAGCATTGGCCTGCTAAACCCAGGGTTGTGAGTTCAATCCTTGTGGAGGCCATTTGGGGCAAAAATTTGTCAGGGATGGCACTTGGTCCTGCTGTGAAGGCAGGGAACTGGACTTGATGACCTTTCAAGGTCCCTTCCAGCTCTAGGAGATAGTTCCAGCCTGCACAAAGATACTCAGCTACAGAAAAATAAGGAGCAATCAAGGGCTGAAACCACAGAAGCTAAGGAAGACACCCCAGCTCTGTCCCCATTATGTCATGTAAAAGGGGATGGAACAGCGTAAAAGTGACCCTAGAAGGTCTTGTTCTTGCTGTTGGTGTATTCTCCCAGTGCAGACACTGTAAAGATGGCAGTAAGTCTCTGTAAAGTCAGCTGCTCCCTGATGATTCATAAGGTGTGGTGGGGCTGGATACAAGAGGGGCATCAAATAGAGGGGTGCAGCATGCAGTGCAATCCTGTGGAGATGCCAGGCAGTACAGTGACTCAGTACAGGAAACCGAAGGAAACTGTCATAACTTGTATAGAATCCCAGGACTTTCTTTCTCCTCTCCAGGAGGACCCCAGGGCCTCTCCAACCTGCAGCATAGCCCAGGTCTGGGAGGTGCTGCACTTCATTTTGCTGTGGCATATAGTCTGCAGAGAGCAGGTGTGCTTGAATACTTCCCCATAAGCTGTAGTAAAAGAATATGTAGCAGCAGATGTGAAACACAGAGCTAATCTTCCCAGCACCATTGAAAGGAAAATAGGTGGCATCGGGCTTACTCATGTAGTGGAAGACAGTGCAAGCATATCAGTGACAATTATATTGCTTTGCATTTTAGGTTCTTTCACCATTAACAGCATTTCAAGTTACAAAAGGGTAGATACTAGGAGGGGCTTTTTTTGTTTGCTTGCTTTTATACGCTAACCTTTTCCCCCATAAAACTGAAGACCTGAAGGTTATCCATCTCATTTCAACAAGGCTTGGGTGTTGCTACTATTCATTGAAATATTCATCTTCCCCCCTAATTGCTGTGTGGGAGTTATTCACTTACTAAAAGAACCTTTTATGTTTCTTATTTCACACACAGACTCTAAAACATAATTCCATTATATTCCTTCACCACTGGTATAAAGGGGTGTCTTTTACTGCTTCAGAGAGCAATTATCAAAAAAATCTTAGGTTTGATAATGCGCTGGAATGATAAGGCGGAAAGCATTTAAAAGTGAGCTATTATCCAGTTGGGCATGCACACCACTGATTCAATCATGTCATGTGGAAAAAAAGCTCCAGAAAAAGATCAAGGATAACTCTACAATTCCTCTGGATGGTTTTTTTATTTGGAATAATAATTCTTACCATAGCATCAATCCACCCCTGACAGAAACTGCAAGACTGTGGGCCTGGTCCAGCCCTCACGAGAAAGACATCTGTTTACTTTTAGAGGAGTTAAATCCAGCCCTGAACAACACAAGGGAGTTGACTTAAATATGAGGAAGTACTTGCCAAGCAATATTATTCCATCCATTGGTACTGACATTTTATGATCTTAATGCCATTTTTTAGGTAATAAGTCGCTAGTAAATTTAGAGCAAAATGTTTCTCCAGGGAGATTTGTCAGCTCTAGAAATGGTAGAAATTAAAATAGTTTATTTTTTACAGTAAAATACAAAGCTCATTTATCACTCAAGCCCTTGCCATGTTCACTGTACAGTAGATTATTATTATGGCTGGGCAAACTTGGTGTTCAAATTTCAATTATTTCAAATTTCACATGAAGATGGAGAATGGATTGGAGGTGAAGAGACCATTTCCAATTAAAAATATATAGGACATGCAATAAAGAGCCCACCTTCTAATTTCAGTATGCTTTTAAGGGTGTTCTGCTGCCCATAAAAGTTAGCGTAGGCTTCACTGAAAATAGAGAAACTTTATAAATAAGAGTTTTAATTTATGGAGATAGATGCTATTTATCATTCCATAAACTCTGAGTCAAAACAATGGTTTGCTAAACCCATAAAATTTAAAACTTGGTCTACGTTAAAAAGTTAGTTCAACCTAAATTGCCTTTGCACATGTGTCTGTTTTGAAATTGTGTCTGGCTGACATAAGTGCCCCATTATGGTGATGCAGTAATACCACACCACCCCGAACAGTGTTGTGCTGTGAATGACTTACTGAGGATTGATCTATGTTAGCCCTATCGTTCCTCCACCACCTATCCCCCCCAATGCCCAGCAATAATTTCTCTAGTTACAGTTGTAAACTCCACTTCACAGAAACTCAAAGCTCATCTGCCTTTTAAAAACACTACATAATTTTAAAGTTGTTTCTTTTCCTGATTGCTTAGTTTAGCAAGCACATCTAGCAGCTCTCCTTTGTTGTGTACAACTGCTCAGCTGACCAGACGGGCCTAAGGAAGGGGAAGAACCTTTGGGTATGTGTACACATTTTTTTTCTTAGGGTGCATCTACACTGCACCATTATTTTGAGATAACTAGCATTATTTCGAAATAACAATGTTAATCTACACAGCCATTCCATTATTTTGAAATAATTTCAAAATAATGGATGGCTTATTCCAGAATCTCTAAACTTCATTCTACGAAGAATAACGCCTATTCTGAAAGAGCTATTTCAAAATAAGGCATCTGTAGACGCTCCACTGCTGCTATTTTGAAATAGCCTCTCACCAGGGCCATTCTAAATTATTCCTTCCCGGTTCTTCCTGTGTTATGCTTAAACGAAGCACACGAGAGCTTTTATAGGGGAAAAGGCAGTACGCCGCATTTATTGAGAATACAACAGTAGCATATGCTTTTCAGTCACACACACACACACAGACACCACACACACACAGTCCCGCCAAACGATGTTATAGTTACCAGTCCAGAGTCTGGATCAATCTAGTGATCAGCCAGATCAATCACAGAGGGAGAGCCGGGCTTTGTCGGTTGTGATCCGATGATCTCCTGGAGTTGGTGTCAAGACAAACACAAAGTCCCATAGCAAAGCACCCTGCTTTTATAATCCTTTCCTCTATGGATTTTGCTGTGTCATTCTGTGACCGGTTACTGTCATCTTTTGATGTTGATGTTCCAAACATCTACAAGAGGCCATCCTGTCCTGGATTGTTAATCAGTTGTTTTTAGGGATGCCTTCACCTTCAGAGCCATCACTCTTGGCCCTTCCTTAATCATGAGTATACACTGATGGTTCTTCTGACGCTGATATGTCTCTTCTCAGTCTGTCTTCACCCGCATTACCCCCTTCTTTCTTGACCATCTGGCTCTAACGATGACCTTCACACCGTATCTCATTCATGCAGTCTTTCACAGAGATACAAACAGCAGAGTTTTATATTGAACAAAAGCAAACAGCATTGTAAATTGCCTTACTAAATCTTATAATAAAAAATGTTCACATTGAAGGCCCGGGCCTTCAATATTTCTAATCTCATTAACATAGACACAATACCAAAACCCTATCTCTTTACTTACTAAACTTTAAAACAAAGAAATGTATATTTAACTAAAGGGCTTAATTAATAAAATGTTAAATGTGTTACCTTACACTGCTACATTATTACACCTAAAATGCAAATATAAAAAGAATAAAACTTTTCAACTCCAACACCTGGGGCTCTAAATCGAGATAGCACGTCTACATTAGGGAAGCCTACCTTGGACTACTTTTGAGGCTTCCCTGCAGTGTAGACGTGCTATTTCGAAATAAGCTATTTTGTAATAACTATTCCAGAATAGCTTATTTCAAAATAAGTGTGCAGTGTAGATGTACCTTCTGTGTCTTTACACAAAAAGTTGGTGAGTAGATCAACCTCAAGGTACAGGAGCCAGGTATTGACTTTTCATGTTTTACATGTCTGAGAAGAGATAATGGTGTTATCTGCTTTTTATTCCCCTGTAGGATTGGGGGAAGGGAGAGAAGGGCTGGGCATTGGAGCAGCTTGTTCAGTTATAGGAGTGTCCCTTGTATCCGCTGGTGAGATCTCAGTGAAACCTTAGCGGAGATTCACTGCAAAGGTATGGAGATACACAACTCTCCCAAAGGTTTCTAGGGATGCCAGCTGCAGCCTAGGTAAATATCTCCTCAGTAGGGAAATATCCGCTAAAATCACCACCCACCTGAGGAAAACATTACCGGTACTCAGAGCTATTGCCTTGTACTTGTAGTCATGGAAACGGGCTAAGATTGTATTATAATGCAGCTGAACAATTCCCTCCTCATTCCACTGTTCCCTACTCCTGGGAGACCATATTCTCCCTGGCTAGGACTAGAGCACCGTGCTGTACAGAGGTACTCAAAGCAGAAGCATCAACAAATGTGTCTCATTTTAAACTTGTACAGGAATAAGGGAAGGGCATTCTGAAAAATAGTTTTTGCTTTTCATTGGGACTGTAAATACTAGGATATGTTTTTCTGTTTTATCAATAGCTGTTGCCACTGTGGTCTCAAGAGGTGCCCCCTCCACATCCATGGAATACCTGACCTTGATGAAGACAAAGAAGAGAACTAGGAAGGATATGTTTGGCAAACTCTTGCAAACCAGTGCTGTATTGGAACAGGGGGCCTGGAAGGGGAATGTGGCAGGCAACATAGAGGAGGAAAGAGCGGACAGGAGAAAGTCCCAGCAGAAAGAGCGGGAACTGCACCAGGATTATGAAGCTTCTCAGGACGCAAACACAAATGCTGTGACTCTTTTTGACCGTTAGTACCAACAATTATGGACTTGCTTCTCTTTTAAATGAGTGAAGAACTCTGTTTTAGCACCTCTCTATACCTCCCTCTCAACATTCCACACAACCCCTCAACCCTTCCCTTTCCATGCTAGAAATGGATTGGGCTATGTCCCAGAGCAATTATAGAATCATAGAATACTAGGACTGGAAGGGACCTCGAGAGGTCATTGAGTCTAGTCTGCTGCCCTCATGGCAGGACCCAGTCGACCTTTAATCATTCTTGTTGTTCTTCTCTGGACCTTCTCCAATTTCTCCACATCTTTCTTGAAATGTGGTGTCCAGAACTGGACACAATACTCCAACTGAGGCCTAATCAGCGCAGAATAGAGAAGAAGAATGACGGAAGCCCCAGCATGCGCCTCCTCTGGGGACTCCTACCTCCCCCCCACGCAGAGAGTCCCTGGAGCACCACAGACCTCCTTTGTGGTACGGCGCTGGTTCTTTGGGGGAGGGGGAGCAGCCTACGCACTTCCTCAAACCCCAGAAGTGGCGTGCAGCTGCTGGATTTCCGTCCACCCCGCAGGAAGCTGGCACTAACTCCCTCGTTGCTGGAGGTAGGTAGTGGGGCTTCTTTGGGGTGGGGAGAAATGGGGGTGGTCCTGAACACCTCGCAATCGACTGGTCGGGGCTTCCCGATCGACAGGTTGGTGATCATGGTGTTAATGCATCCTAGAATCATGTTTGCTTTTTTTTGCAACAGCATCACACTGTTGACTCATATTTAGCTTGTGGTCCACTATAACCCCTAGATCCCTGTCTGCCGTACTCCTTCCTAGACAGTCGCTTCCCATTTTGTATGTGTGAAACTGATTGTTCCTTACTACGTGGAGCACTTTGCATTTGTCTTTATTAGATTTCATCCTGTTTACCCTAGACCATTTCTCCAATTTGTCCAGATCATTTTGAATTATGACCCTATCCTCCAAACCAGTTGCAAACCCACCTAGCTTGGTATCATCTGCAAACTTAATAAGCATACTCTCTATGTTGATATCTAAATAGTTGATGAAGACATTGAACAGAACTGGTCCCAAAACAGACCCCTAAGGAATCCCAGTTGTTACATCTTTCCAGCAGGATTGCGAATAATTAAGAACTACTCTCTGAGAACAGTTATCCAGTCAGTTATGCACCCACCTTATCTAAGTTGTATTTGGCTAGTTTATTGATAAGAATATCATGCGAGACCGTATCAAATGCCTTACTAAAGTTTAGGTATACCACGTCCACTGCCTCTCCCCTATCCACAAGACTCGTTATCCTATCAAAGAAAGCTATCAGATTGGTTTGACATGATTTGTTCTTTACAAATCCATGCTGGCTGTTCCCTATCACCTTATTATCTTCCAAGTGTTTGCAGATGATTTCCTTAACTACTTGCTCCATTATCTATCCCTCATCCCAGCCTCTGTTGTTGTGGTACTTCCTGCAGCTCTGCAAATACCAGAAAATCATTCGCCCTGGGCGTTCAGAGCTGTGTGCTTCTGTCCGATGGTGGATAGCAAAAAGTACCACATGAGTTGTGGGATTTTTTTTCAAAGGTGAAAAAATTAGACACTCTGGATGGCATTATGGGATGAGAAATTTGCACAATGGAACTTGGGGCCTTGATTCCCTGTCATCCCATCACCACTCACTTCTGTCCCACCATATATTGTGAACATTTCCTAAAAGACCGTGCAAGTGACACACACACACACATTGGATTACCTCGGCATGGTGCACTGTATTGTGCGTCAGGACAAATACGCCTGGTGAATGTGTGCAGTTCCGATGCAAGCAGCCATGCATGCATGCACATGAGCAATATATTAACTTCAGTGGCTTTACGTTGCTGTAACTTGCATCCACCAAAGCATACAGTGTAGACATGGCCTCACAATCCCTAAAATTGGCCACTCCCTAAAAAGGAGACATTTTTACACATTCAGGTTGTTTCATGTTTTTTTTCCTTGGAAACTACAAGCTTGTGGGGGTTGTTTTTTACTTGTTTTACATTTTATTAAATTGTAAGTCAAGTGTAATGTATGGATCTGAACATGGTTTGATACACTGATTCCAATTAACTCAGACAGTTATCAATATAATTAATGGATCTGTGCAACACATATGTCACCATTCATGAGCATCCCATTATCAAGTCAAGACTTAACATCAAGGGCTTGCTACCACCACACACCACAGCAACCACCACACACACGAGGCAGTCAAATTCTCCTACATATGCAGCAAAGCAACCCCATTAAAGCCAGCAGAGTTGCACGAGCAGGACTTTTGCCCTACAGCAATCTTCAGAATGCTTATTTTCTGAGTTAAAAAAACAACAACTTGGACCAACATTTATTTGTACAGGCCACAAAATAGGACAGTCTTCAGCTAAGTGGAAAAAAGCAGGTTAGGTATCATTGCAAAAACTTAGTTTCCTGAATACGGTGCATTTACATATCCACAGGTGATATTCTTCTTGCCAGAAGATGTTTTGCCTGATAAGCTGACAGCGGTAGAGCCTAGTTGTATTGCACCTCAGCTAAGTGAAATGAATAAAGGATCATTTCAGTGACCCCTTATTTACATATTTAGAAAGATTTCTGGGTAACACTCTTATTACAACAATTTTCCTCCATAAGAGAGCGAACAGAATACCACTATGGTTTGACTTCCTTGGGAGAGGAAGAAAGTAGGCCTATTTCAAAAACGATGAATAGTTTTGTGTGCCAAGCTTCAGATTCTTTTTTCAGTGAGGGTTCAGATCCTTTCACGGTGTAACTCTCCTGCTGGGACTCTCTCAGGGTGAAGATACCCCTAACTGGAAAAGCTGACTCCTGTGCCATTCCTGTGCAACCCCTAGTATATATAACATGTTGGGAATGGAAAGGGGAGAACTCAGAGTAGAATGCGTTTCTGCAATCCCTTCAGGACCCTTGTTTTAAGGCATAAATTAGAACAGTGCACATTACTTTCCTTTTAACTGCTCTCTAGGCTATGTCTAGACTGCAGGCTTCTTTCGAAAGACGCTTTTCCGGAAGACATCTTCCAAAAAAACTTCTTCCGAAAGAGAGCACCCACTGCCAAAGTGCATCGAAAAAACGATCTGCTTTTTCGAAAGATAGCATCCACACTGAATGGATACTATCTCGCATTTAAGCTGTGATTGCTGTGGATGGAATGGCTACCAGGGCACTTGTGCTTTTTCTTCTTTCCTCTTCTTTCAAAAGAACTCCCTCTTCCCCGTCCACACACGCCTTTTTCCAAAAGAGTTCTTTCAGCCCTCGGGGAGGGGCGACTCCCCCTCGTGGTCAGTGGGGGGCCACTACGACCCACTACGTGCTGTGTCATCAGTTGGAGAATTAGCGATGTTACGGATGGAAATGATTTTGCTTCGATAAACCTGATTTTGATGTGTAAGCAACCCAAAAGATGTAGTTGTCCCATTTCTTTCTTGTGTTCTTCTGGGTTTCATTCATTAGACGCTCCTTGATAGCCTCTCTCTTTGGTGATTTTTTTCCCCATAATTCTAAAATAAAATTATCTCGAGGTGGTATTTTTAAGTACTATACTATATGATGATACATGTAAGAACATTTGCAATAAACTTTCCTCTTCTGCCTTTATTCTTTTTGGTGTATTGGACATCACTTGATGATTACCTGTTCTGTTTACTGCCTCTGGGACACCTGCAATTGGCCATTGTCGTCAGACAGGATACTGGACTAGATGGACCTTTGGTCTGACCCAGTATAGCCGTTCTTATGACATCAGTGGCAGGTCTTGTAAGGAGTGTATTTGTAAAGCATTTTGGAAATGATGGATGTCAGGTACCACAGAAGTGCAATATATCAAGACAAAGATACTAAGCACTTCCATAATCAAGGCAATTCAGATATTTTAAGATAAAAGTTTTTAGATAAAAATACACTGAAATTGATCCCTCACTATATCTTACTCAATCTGAAATGCCAGAAGAGGAGCAGCAATTTTGTGACACAAAAGCATTGCCATTTTCATTCTGATGCAATTATTAGCTTAAAAGTGAGTCAAGCAAAACAATAACCCTACCTGTCTTACCAAAATAGAGTCAAAACCTCCCCCACCAAAAATGCACTCCGTTCTTCTTCCGCACGGTCCCCTTCATTAGGCAGTGATATTCAAAGAGCCCTAAAAGAAGACAAAATCAGTATTTTTCATATTGGTTCCCTAGCCTCCTGCCTTGTTTCTAAAGCTTTCGTGCTTTCTTCAATCACAGACATATCATGGACAGCACAGTTTGGCTGGTGGGTCTAGCCCACATGCTCATGGTCTAACTGAGGGGTTGGCAACCTATGGCACAAGTGCCACAAGTGGCATGCAAGCCGATTTTCATTGGCACGCAAGGGAGGAGCTCAGCCCCACTCCTCCTCCCCCACGTAGCCAGTGTTCCTTTAATGTGCCCACTTACAGGGTGACACACACAAAATTCAATAGCCCACCCACCTCCGCAGCAGCACTCACTTCCTCCTGCTCCTTGAAGGTGAGTGTCATGCCTGCTCCCTCTGGCGGGGATGGGGACAGGGACGGCCCGGAGCTACACTGAGGGATGGGTGCTCAGGTGGCCGCTCTGGCTGCCAAGGCCACGTTGGGGGCTGGCTGCTGCCGGGGCGGAAGCTGCATTTTGAGGTGGCTGCCACCAGCATTTCAGGCCTAAAACATGTGGTGGGCAGGCAGGTTGCTGCCACGGCCGGGCGGGTTGGGAATCAGGGGGTGTTGAAGCTGCAGGTAGGTGGGTTGCTACCGGAAGGTTGAAGCCATGGCTGGGTGGGGTGCTGTTGCCAGGGACTGGAGCCGCAGGCGGGTTGGAGACGGGGACAGGCCTGCAGCCGCACTGGAGAGTGGCTGCATGGGTGGCTGTTCTGACATTCGTAGGTTGCCGATCCTTGAGAGGCATGTGTGCTGCTCACAGTATCAAACTACGAGCCAGAGATCGGCGAACTCAGCAAGGCAAAGCAAGGCCACGAATCACACTAAACGGTACAATCAGCATTTAATTTATTTATTAATGAAGCTGCTGTAAGCAGGACTATTATTGACTTTAAAAAGTATCACCTGCACATTGACCCGTAAATAGAAGTGAGCAAGTTAAGTCTCGGCACGCCATTTCTGAAAGATTACTGACACTTGGTCTAGCTGATCTCTCTATTTGGGGTCAGTAAGGACTTTTCCCCTAAAGTCAGGCATGCAGAGACCCTCTGGAGCATGGGGCATGAGCCACTTGCTGTTTTAAATTGGAGTGAATGGTGGATTCTCTGTAACTTGGAAGTCTTTAAATCAAGATTTGAGGGCTTCACCAACTCAGCTAGAGTTTTATGGGCCTATTGCAGGAGTGGATAGGTGGTTATGTGGCCTGTGATGTAGAGAAGGTCAGATTTGATCAAGGGAGGGCAATAAATGTTGATGGGTGGCCACTCCAAGAAGTTGGTAAATGACTATGGGCTGCACTTCTATGGAGGAGGTATAGGGTCTGAGACAGAAGTTAGGTGCAGAAGGGATCTTGAGCTAACGGATTGGGGTGCAGGAGAGGATGTGGGGTCTGAGAGGGAGTTTGGGAGAAGGAAGGGGTTGTGACCTGGGGCAGGGAATTGGGGTGCAGGATCTGGGAGGGGGAAAGATGGCAGGAGAAGATTCTGGGAGGGATGTTGGAGCAGATGCAAGGTCTGGGAGGGTGTTGTGACTTGAGGGAAGAGGGTGGAGAGGATTTGGGTGGTGACATGGTGCAGGGTCTAGGAGGCGGTATGGGTGTAGGAGAGGATTCTGGCCTGTGGTGAGGGCAGAGGAGGGGGTACAGGGTCTGGGAAGGAGTTGGGTGCAAGAAGGGTTGGAGTGCTAGAGGCACTTACCTAAATAACTCCTAGCCAGCAGCACTATCAGGCAGGTTTCCTTGTCTGCCAGCAGCCCCCAGCTGGCTGTTCCTTGTAGCTCTCTGCACTGTGTGTTTGTCAGGAGGGGGGAGCGCTAAGGCATCGTACACTGCTCCTGCCCCAAGAAAAATCTCTGAGCTTCTATTGGCCAGAAATTGGCCAATGGGAGCTAAGAAATTGTACTGCACTGTCTCCACCCCCAGCAAAATCTCTTAGCTCCCATTGGCTGGTTTCTAGCCAAAAGGAGCTGTGAGATTTTGCGGGGGGAGGAGCAGCGTGTAAAGCCTTCTCCCCTCCCTTCACAGCGCAGAGAGCCACAGGGGCAGGCAGGTCAGATTAAAAGGTTTGGTGGGTCAGATGTGGCCCACAGGTCATATCTTACCCACCCCTGGACGAGATTATCATGATGGTCCCTTCTGTCAGTGTCCCTGAAAAGGGCATAAATTGTGGCCTGTATTTCAAAGGTATTACAACAAGTCCTTAATGCATCCGTATTGAGGCAGTGATACGTGAAGTTCAGGGTACCATCTCACTCAAAATAATTTTTATTATTAAACTATTTAAACTTCTAAATGATGCAAACAAAGCTACTTAACCTCCCCAACTTGGCTATGTTTATTGGGGGTAGTGTTGGTGATGCACTTAACTCTTGAGTAAGCGGCATCCTTTCTTTTATTGTTTTTCCCCCAGGCAGAAGCAATAATGACCCCATGCAGTCACGAACAGGCCTGTATGCAGGAATTCCTGGGGGAGAGGGTTGCTTTTTTTGTAAATGTGGACCACAATTTTTTAAAATATAAAGGAGTTCAAAATAGTTCTGCAATGAGTGTGCTTAAGAAGTAAACGAAAAATTTGACTGGAAACTGTGATTGGTAAAACGATTTTGTTATAACATACTAAAAATGTATACAGTAATAAAAGTTTTATAGAAATTACCTTCTGGGATCATGGCGGGCAGTGTGGCTGCTATGGCCCCAGGGTACCTTGGCTGCCTCTGCTTGCTGCTGCTCTACGTGCTCTGTGCGGTCAGTGCTGGGTGAGTGCTGGCAGGGCTTCCGGCCAGCAGGGCCAGGACCGGACTGCTCTTTGTGGGTGGGGGGCACTGTTCCCCTGGCCTTGCTGCACTGCCACCAGCTCCTCCCAGCCCCACACAAGCCAGCACTCTCCCATCCCCCAACAGAGCCCCTTCATGCTTACTTGGGGGACAATGGGGTGGTGCATTCACGCCCTTTGCACCTCCCCTTCATATGGGCCTACTGAAGGAATTTGCAGTCACATTGATGCTATGATCAATCAGATACAAGAAGATGAAAGGAGGATATGTCTATAATACTGTAGAATAGTGGTGGTATAAAACTTCCTGCTTCGTGACATAAAACAACCTCCAACTAATGGAGATTAGGAAGCAATTTTCCCTGCGAACATGTTAGTCCAAAACTTCTCACTACAGCATTTCTTTCACCTGGCTCTGGAACATCTAGTCCTGGCCACTCTTGGAGATACAGTATGGCCTGTATTCCACTACTGATTTGAACAAGTATCATGGTATCATGGCCAGAAGCTGGAATGGTGTCCCTGGCCTCTATTTGTCAGAGGGTGGAGATGGATAGCAGGAGAGAGATCACTTGATCATTAAACTGTTCGGTTTGCTCCCTCTGGGGCATCTGGCATTGGCCACTGTCAGCAGACAGGATACTGGGCTGGGTGGACCTTTGGTCTGACCCAGATTGGCCGTTCTTATTCTTATGGTCTTAATACTTTGTATGTTCGATGGTTTGGTCCCAATCTCTATATGAATTGTTAATGGAAGCAGAAAATAAAATGTCTTTCCTATCTAAACACGACACTGAAGTGTAGATCTCCCCTGAGAAGTGACAGGTAAAAATAGGACCTGCTTAATCCACAGATGTGTTTCTTTCATATTTTCAGAGTCATGTCTTCTTACTTGAGTGACAAAAATAAGTTTTTCCTACTTGTAATCCTTATTTGTACACAAATACTCCACAGGTAAAAGACAGTAAGTGGGTTGTTTGTGAAACATCTCACTTTGTGAAACATTCACAGAATTGTTTGCTAAATTCCAGAGAGTTGCTCAGATTTTACAGATGGCATAATCTGAGGACAACAGGGTTGCATAGATTAATCAAGGATCTAATTTGGCCTGCTGGTTATAGGGCATGACATGGAAAGAATCCAGCCTTTTCCAGAATGCAGAAGAGTTTTCAGGGCTGGCAGTTCCTTTTTACTTGTAAATTAAATGCATATATCAAAATCATTGAGATACAGTAGTTATGGAATCCTTTTAAGGACACTTTTCTGAGTAGAAGCTCACATTTACTCCAAAGTAAGATAAGAATCCATTTCTTGGTGAAAATTATAGCCCACTAAGCATCTACAGCCTGAAACAGGCACAGACACATCTGAATAATTAAAAAAAAATGTTCCCTGATCAATATGTATTTTAAAATGTACAGGAAAAGTCTCAAATAATAGAATGCCTTATATCATCCTGATGAAATGATATGCACAAATTATGAGAACATAAGAATGGTCATGGTGTATCAGACCTATGGTCCATCTAGCTTTTCTTAGGCCACTGACTGCCAGATGCTGGGACTAGATGCCAATAGATGGATCACTTGCCCCTGTTTTGTTCATTCCCTTTGAAGCATCTGATGCTGCAGTAAGGTCAGGAGAGGCTGCTTTTCTGTCAGTGCTGGCTACTCTTCTCATCTTGGTGAAGTACCCGCATCAATAGGAGAGTGATTGATTTATTGCATCTAATCAGCAGTGATAAATGGACAGCTAGTTGATCCACCACGTAGTGTAGACAAGGCTAAAAAGAGTGCTAAAAAGAGATTCAGCAGGGTGGAATAGAAATACTCACAACATGTTTTGCATATTTTGACTAACTAATATACCAAATGAATAATGAAGCAGCAAAGTTATGGAGAATTATAGGATGAACTTTTGAAAAGAAATCTTTGTCTACATGGGACTCACAGGGAAGTTACTATGAAATAAATAGTATATAAATTTAAAGCACAATAGCTATTCCACACCAACTTCCTGAGTTTAGAGAGCTACTTCAGAATAGCTTTTCAGCAATAGCTATTTCAGGTTCTTTCCACATGTAAAAAGCTACAAGTATTAATTTAGAGTGAAAAGAAGCTCATAATTGTATAGACGCATTGCAGATTTTATACATGGGGTAATTCCTACAGTGCATGTACCTGGAATGGCAATGGACAAACAGTGCAAGTT